AAGGAGAAAAAACAAATTATTTAACACTTTCCCTAATAGTATACCTTTAAATCCATGCAAAATTGCCAACAAACAAAGCAAAACCTGTATACATTTCTAAATGTCTGCAAACCTGTTTCTAAGTTCAGAACCTTGAGATGCCTTTACACAAAGCCTTACTAGGAAGTTCTAATTGTGCTCCGAGTTCACAGATGTGGGTAAGTCATTTCTCATTAAACTTTCTACAACTCCAAGAACCCCTTTGACATGCATTTTCAAATGTAAATATACACACCGATGAGCTTGTGAAACTTTGTTTTCCTCTGAAGGAGAATGAATCAAGAATCAACCACAAAAGGAAGCAGTCAATTGAGTTTTTTTTCTTATATAGTATATGCTTAATCCCATACAAACCAGAGAATCTACAGTAATTACATAGTTTGTGGCCTTGGTTCTTTTCCTCAGTAGAAAAAACATCAGGACTTCACTATTAATTTTCAGTTAACATGGGTGAAGGAAGACGAAATGGTGTAAAAAAATCCCAAGAATGTGTTGAGTACTTTTTTATTGAAAGACAACAAATAAAAGGGAGACATTAAGAGTGGCAAAGATACAGGTGGGGAGGATATCAGTCAGCTTTTTCATGTTTTATTCATTCTAAGGTTAGAAAGACTTACCTCCATCCTAGTTTTGCCTTTACTAATACAACCAGACAACAGGAATTGCATATATCCACTTTCAGATTGCCACCTCAACACTGACGACCAGCCTTAGCACTAATAAAGGTGGAATTTTCTGGTCTGCAAGTAGACAAGAGAGATGCTCTAAGCCAGAGACACTCAATCTGTGGCCCACATGGAAAAATCATCCTACATGCAATCTACTCCTACTGGCTTTTTCCCAGTGAGAAGTTGCCTGGTGAGATATGTGATGACAATACAATGCTGAGTGTATCAAATTTATGGAAAAGGTCCAGCCATGTTATCAGGTCCTCCCTGACCTGAATGCAAGCTACATGCCCGACCCAGGCAAAATGCTGGATCTGTTTCCAAACTGAGTTATCTGTAGTAAATGCTGATTTGTAGCATGAACATCTATCAACTGTTAAATAAACTAACATAGGAAGGCTTAGTAAGTAGAGAAGCACAGCTTTTAAACCTATCAACTAAATTTAACAGGCATCTGGAACAGCACAGAAAAGGGTATGTTACAGAACTCTAACATGTTAATCATCATTCTCCTATCAGGTGGTCCAGAGAGATTGCTGGTAAGAACTACGTATCACCTGTGAGAGCTTCCAGATTTATCCAACACAAAGAACTCTGAGACCATCTGCAAAGTACAGTATGTATCAGGAAGCAGTACAAACACAGCCCAGCGGAGCAGACATACAGAATCACCATGTTCTGTTCAGAGTGTTCTTTTGCTTAATTAGTCCAGTCTTATCAACCATAGGGCTCACTCCTTTCTGCAAGTCTCCTCACGTGTCACTCTAAGCTTGCTGTCTGCTGCCTAAGTGAACGAACACATGCAAGCAGAAAAATCTCTTGTCTTTGGGGAGGAAAAAATGGTAGGTCAGATGGAATTATGCTTCAAGCTGAATATAATACTCCACAGGCTGTGAAACTAAACTAACCTAAAGAAGTTATTTAACAGACATAGATATGAACTCAGCTGGTTTAGTTACAGTCAGCAACAATCCTTAAAAGTTACTCTTATAAATATTTGTGGACTTAATCCAACCTTGAAACCATTTTGACTTTTTTACTTATACAGCACAGTAAAATTTCCAGCATAGAAGAAGGGCTGTGTGATCACACTTCAATCACGTTTCAAGCACAAATCAGACTCGAATAACCTGTAGGATTAGTTTTAATCTACTTTTTTTCCCATTTACTCCAACATCAAAACAGTCAGTTCTCTTAATTTGTTTGCTCATTTTCTCCCTGTATCTGTCAGTGTGCTCTGCACTTACTAAGCAGTTAAAATCCTATATATTTTTCTCCACTATTGGCAAAAAGATAACAAGTCTATCAGACCACTTCTACATGTATTTTAAGGCTTATATTACTATACCTATAAAAGTGTTTTAATCACTTATCATTATACAGAAGATAACCTTAAACAAGCAAATATGAAACTTTTAAAAGTGGTTTTCTCATTATTATGCTCTCTTTGTACTCTCTTCCTCCCACCACACTCTCTGGGGTATATATTCTAAAATTTCACGCATAGCATAAAGTATCTTTGGAATGTTACAGTATAATGGTTTAGAGAAACATTTAATGGATGAGTAAGCATCAAGAGGCCATGGCTAAGGGAAAAGAAAAGTTAAAATGCTAGAAGCATTCTGAATTGAATGATCTTCTCAGCATGAGGACAGGGATGGACATTTGATCCAAAACTCTGGTATTGACTCAAGTGTCATAAAACCAGCAGCCAGCATCAAGGCACATGAAGCATCCAACCACCTAACAGAACATTTGCTACCACCCACCTCCTTCAAACTGGGCTTTGGTCACTGTCTCATAAAGTAATCAAACATTATAGGATATTATCAATCAATAACATGAATATTACAATAGAGAATTACATGATTTTGACAACTGGCTATTTTTTTGTTTAAATTGGTTACTTAGTTTCCTGATTTATAGCACAAATAATTTGCGTGTGCACGATACAGAAATGCAACTGGAAAAAAGCCGGGCACTCAGTACAGACAGTTAAAAAAAGCTGAACATTCTTTCACTACAGGAAACTGCTGGAGACAATATGCTGTAAATTAAAGCCAATTTTCCTGAATTCCCTGAAGGACTGCTCCTCCCAGAGATTCTACAAATCCATTAGCAAAGGCCCATCATTACAGTTTTCTTGGGGCTTATTTACTGAAGAGAGTTTAAAAATAGCATGCCCAAAGTAAAATGTACAGCATACTGTGGGTAGAACAGTGGGACAAATTAGGCCTAACCTTACAGAATTCATATCCTATTACCCATCCTGTATCATATTACTAGAGCACAGCTGAGATAGTTTTTACTCCCCCGTTCCTTCTTCTCCTCCCCATACTTTTTTAAGTCAAGGAAAAGCAAAATAATCACCTCCCTACCTGAATTTCTGATGAGAAGAATGGATACTGAAGCAGGAGAGATGCCAGATACTACCATACATTGCTCTGGAAAACAAGCACTTCTTGTAACCCCAGGTTAGAAGAGACACACTTCCTGCACACTTCTGCCACTCATGATTGGGCACCTAAAATCTCTGTCCAAGTGGATTCTGTGGTGCTTAACAACATACGACTTGTAGCTGGGGCAGTGCATGCTCTCCTAGCTTCACACTTCCAGAATGTTCTGAAATCTAGTGTCTTTGAAGAACTTCTATTTCTGCATTAGATTTGGTGGAGAACAGGTAACAAGTTTAAAAGAATGAATTAGGAATACATGAACAGTGGGATTTTATAAATACCATCTTGTTAATAAGCTCCTGGACTAGTAGCACAAGTTCTGCTATGGAGCCTTCTAGCTCTGAAGTCAATCTATCTTCCAAAATTCCTTGTCTATTTGTAAAATGTGTGAATCTAAATCGTATGTAAAGATAATGGATTGCACATGCTGCTTGAGTGAGACTTTAGGAGGTATTTGTAGGCATGTAAGATTGCAAGGGACTTCCCAGGTCACTGTATTTGTATCTTACTATCAGAAACACTATATTAAATAATCTCTTCTAGAAGACATAGATCCTCATCTTAAAAACAGTTTTCCTTTCTTTTTGCATATTTCTATTTAAACAATCTCAAAACTAGGGTAGTTCTTTTAATTTCCAGCCTAACCCATTAAAGACCCCATCCAGTGGCTACTTAGATTGTGTAGGACAAGGTTTTACATTCTCAAGTTTTTATTCTCTTCTCTTCAACAACACACTGATCCTGATGCTGCAGTCAGATAAATTCACTGGTTTAAATCTAATTTTTTTTCTAATGCCATACTCAGAGACAAATCCAAATATTCCATGGGTAACTTTTTCTATAACTACTTTCACTTGGTGAATTACAGGGAACTGTAATACCACTGCTGATTTAAAACAAGGTCTATAGATTACTCCTTGTGTTACAATGACCATACCAGTGCCTTTAAGTATGTCTTTTGGGGTTAGGGTAATGGGGAACACAGCAGTTTATAATGAAATCTAACAAACAAGAGTATGTTAATCTTTTCAGCCACTTAAAACCAGGAAAATCAAAAGCAAATGTCTTCCTACCATAGCGTTATAAAAACCAACCCCAAATACTTGCATTTTAATGCCTGCTGGGATGTTTTCTGCTAACCCTCCATTAGATTTCTTACAGTACTCAGTACACACATTCTTCCACAGGCTGGACTGATTTTCTTCCACAGTTTAACTTGTTTTTGCCAAACTCTCTTTTAGTTCAGCACTGGCTGACTGCCTAATGAAACAACCTTTCTTTATGCCAAAACTGTCATCTTCAGTTGCACAAGATGTATCTTACTTACAAACATGTATAATGAGCCCAATGTTTAATGCCTGAAGAACTGCTATTTTAAAATGATCTCTAGAAAAACTTCAACAGATACAGAAGTGGTCAGTACCTAACCTTGGTGAGGGGAGAAATCCTTTTCAAGACAGACTTTTCTTCTGTATTTAAATGCACCTTTAAAAAAGAAAAACCTAAACTATTACAAGATGGAAGTGTAAGCATTTAACCACAGAGAGCAGTGAGAAATGTGAGGCTCAGTCCAAACCCAAAGCTGACAGCTCCATTCTCACTCAATGTGAAGTCATCATACCTAATGATCACATGCAATTTACTGAAGACTAACCTTTAAATGTAAGAATCTGATAATACTTGATACATTACCTTGACTTGATGTATTTGACTTATATTATCAAGTATAAATACTATAAGTTATCCAGTATTCCTAATGACTGAAGAAAACCCATCTAAATAAACCTGATGTTTTATTTTTCTGCTGTAAGTTCAGTCTCAGCTGAAACAAGAATACCTGCGTAAGAAGTTGTTCTTCAGTCAGACTATTGATCCAACGAGTATACCGTTCAGTAGACTCCGGTGGCTCTCTTCTGATTTGGCAACCAACAATCTAAAGCAAACAGCAACAAAAAAAGATCATAAAATAAGCATTCAAAACATGGGAACTCCAAGAGTTAAGATTATCTATACAGTCCTTATTAGCCCCCTTCTGTGGTCATAATATAACATAATGTAATAAAATATAACGTAATGTAATGTAGTATAATACAGCACAGTTGCTCTGCTCAAATGTTAAGTAGTTACAGACTTTCAAAGGTCTCTATAAAACTAACACTGAGAAATGTCTTTCCAGTCCTGGGAGTATTTTGGTTGAAATTTTCTAAGGGAAGTCATCCAGACATCTAGAATGCAAAATATAAATTTTAATATTCTGAACATCAATTGGCATAATAAATGGCTTCCAAATGCATCAAACAGAATATTAGAGGGATTTCATACTATCTGTAACTGCACAGACACATTTTAATACAACTTCATACAAACACTAAACTGTTTACATGACAAATCTCTGGTTAGACAAGGAAGAAGCCAAGGAGAACTGGAGGAGTGTGACTACACAGAACTCTGCTATTTGTTACTCCCGACGGTCTGCAATCTATCCTAAACCTTCAGGGTAGTAAAGGACTTAGTCACATGTGCAAAGTAAGCTGATACTGTTTTATATCAACTACTGCACTCCTGTCATACTGTAACTGTCTATTTGTCTTTCAGATTTTGATGGGTACTTCCTGTTGAGGATATGTTCATTCACTGAGATTTAACTCCAAAAGGTAGGTATTAGCATTTGTAAACACTAATTTGAGAGAATTAAGTGCTGCTCAAGAAGCATGTGGAACACTTACTTGGTTTATTTTCCACCCTAAGCATTCATAAGGAATGTAAGTGTATACACTGAGCACAGCAAGTTTAAATCTTTCAGGTATCTCCATTTACAGACCTTTAAACCCCTCACAGATGTAAGCAGTCAGGCTAGAATTCTGCACGTGCAGTTATGAATACTTTTGATATGGGAACAAAAACACCATGAAGAGATCTTGCTGGGTGACTGCTGGCAATGAAACATCACAATTTAGAGTATGATTAAATACAATCAAAATACAAGACATGTAAAAAAAGAAACCATAATTTGCTTATCCCATAAGAATAAAAAAGAATGTCTCTAACTACAAAATTTCTCCTCCATGACAACTATGAATTACTATGGATAACTTCAATCCTCATCCTGACTTTCTCCTAAATTACAGCTAAGTAATACTAAGACATTTTCAGAAGGTTAACCCAGAATTGTTTTAAACTGAACACCTTTTGTAAAAGAGGCACTCCACAGATACAAGAACTTCAGAGAAGTTGTGTCAATGTACATATATCCTGTTCTGTGAGGATGATTTTTATTTAAGAGAACTATATACAGAACTCGTTAGTCTTCATTAACCAAGGCCTCATTAACTTTCTCATCCATGTTCTAGGTTTCTATAACTTACAAAGACACTTCACAAGATGATGCATGAAAGTCCAAATGGGAAAATTACACAGCACTTCTTTCTCAAAAGCCATTCCGTAACAATACAATATGGAAACAGATTTTTTATTCAAGCACTCACAGCCTAAGCTGAACAAACACAGAATCAGAAACAGTTTTCACAAGGTAAGAGACAAAAAAACATTTTCCTGAAAACCTGGTTTTCAATGAGAGCCAAGTAGTAAGTGCAGTCATTTCTTTCTATGCAACTTGACATTGAAATGAGAAGCAGAGGATGGAGATTCCTATTTTAATATTAATTTCTGACCAGTCTGACCATTTTCATAAATGCTATTGCTAGTTTAAGGAATCTAAAATAGATGTTGAATCCAGGTGCTCAGCTAAAGGACTGCAATTCCCTAAAACCACAGAACAACTGGTTCAAATCTCAACTCCTTACGCTTCCAGAGAAAACTGAATGGAGTTGATCAATTATCTGTCCATACACTCACAGAGAGGTGAAGGCAGACAGTATAACTGCTATTCAGTTGGGTCCTGACAGCTCTCTTCTGTATCATACATCACTTCTTGTAACTTGTAGAGTTTGACTTAGACTCTTAGCCAAAAATTCCACCTCTTTCCATATAGTCATATAGATTATTCCATGTTCCAATTTACTCCTCTGAATTTTGGCTTGTAAAAATGATTCTGTATTTATTGTATGCAGGTCTTGAAGTACTTTCAGGCTTTTGGAATTGAAAACAGTATAACTAGGAAAAAAGTACTCATAAAAAAGGTGACTTAGGAATTACTGTTACTACAGTAATATAAATCCAGAACAGAAAAAACATTGGGTTACGTTGAATTTCACCATAATTTGGGGCAGAATCCTTGTTACTGTAACTTTCCAAACTGCTTCACCAACTGACAGGCCCAACAGCAAGACAGAGTGAGAGCATAACAATCTAGAGCCTTATACACAAACACACTGATCAAATACAAAAACAGGTTTAAAAAAGAGACTCTTTTGTACACAGTAATTTTTATTTCTACAGCAAAGCTCAATCTAACGTTTAGACCAATGGTAAAATGAGAATAAGATATTAATCTAGGACAAATATAAAAATGTACTTTTATATATATATAAAGAAATAAAGAAGAAAGTAATGGGATTATCCTCTGTTTTAAGAATGTGAGAATAGCTCAATGTTTCAAGAATCAACTTACTTTTTTTTACCCAGTCCAATAAATAATCATGAGGGCAACCCTTCTACTGTTGCACTTCAAAGTCCCTTTAGCAGCACACTGAACACCTAAAGGTTCATGGCATCGAGTTGAAAGGTAGTTTTATTGGAACTGATGGCAAAAGGTTGTTGTTCAAAACCATCTCCAGAGCAATGAATTTCACTTCCATGACTAAACAGGACACGGTGACTCCTGGTCCTTGAAACCTCCATTCTGCAGTCCCTAACAAAATGTTATGATGATCTACTCTAACATCAGTGAACACTAAAAAGGAAAAGAATGAAACCAGTGCTGAGAATTAACGTGAGAAAAGGCTGATTTCTGGAAAAAATGCAGACAATGCAAAAAGTAACTTCGAAAAACAACATTTTCTGATTCCACATGCCTACTAATGTCCTCATTCCTCTATTTAGTATATCATACCTTCTCCCCTGTAGCTTTATCTTTACTTACTCTTTTCTAGTCTGAGCTCTATAGCAGGCAGGCATTACTGATGAATGAAATGGCTCCAATGAAGTTAATATGAAGATGAGGTTAAGATTTCACTCTAATTTGGTTTTTCTTACACAGTGAATAAGAATATTATCTAGACAATAAAATATCATAATATACTTTGCAATCCTATACTTGTTTCATATATGGAATTAGAGGAAGACAGAGAGGAAATGAGGGATTAATACATTTACAACTTTACTCAAACATCTTCCATAGTGGTGGCTTTAAATTTTGGTTTTCTTACAATTACCTGACTGTGCTATCTAGACACAACTACAGCATTTATTTCCAGAAGACTTTCTGATTGTTCCTAAAATCTATTTTTTCACAAGCAATGCTGTCTTCATTCCTCCTCCTCATCTGAAAACCAAACCCACAACCAACCACCTGGTAATTCATTTCTTTAGAAGCAAAGGAACAAAAATCCAAAGGTGATGTTCTTAGTGGCCTTTTAAGACTTCAACAGACGTAGCAAACTCAAGAGCAGGGCACATAAAAGCAAGGATCTCCCTTCTGCAGAAGATGGTATCATAAAACATTATTTAACCACATTCTTTACTTACAATGATTATCACAACAAAACAAACTGAAGAGTAGAAATGCCTGTTACTGAGAACAGCTGCAACACACCACATACACTACAAATGCATAACAAAGTTAACACTTCACAAGAAGTGATATATTCGCACTTCCCTCTATGCTAACAGTGAAATGCTTTGCTCAGCACACAAACACCCTGCTTGCTTTTCATTTTCAGAACCAGCACCACTCCAGACTTCTAGCATCTTCAGACACACGTTTTACAGACAAGGCTTAAAACTGTCATTATGCAATCTAGATGCTCAGCCAAAAAAATTCTACACCCTTCTGCTCTTTGGCTGTACCATTCCTCTCCCAATGGGACTCTGACTCATGGCTGGGAATCTTGACTTACGTGGTTGCAAGATAAACATCACCAATGTAGAGTAACTCAACCTGAGCCTTTGACAGAGCTTCTGTAAAGCACAGCTCATTTAACCAGGTTCTTTCACCCAATCAAACCGAGGATTATTTAGAGGACAGCTTCCTCCAGTTCCCCTGTGTAAGGTGGGGCACCAGAAGCAAGTGCACACCGTTTCCTATTTCCTCTACGTCTCACAGAGCTTTTATATTCACTTCACTGAATATTTCCTTACAGCTTTTAAATTGAAGTGAAAGGGGGTTTTACTGTTGCTTCTTTCATTAAGTTTTAAAATACTTCAATAAAAGCCTTTCTGACCTATTTCATACCCATACAGACTTCCAGAAAGTACAAGAAACTCTCCACATTAGAAATACGTGTAGCAGCAACATCAGCCATCTGCTCACTGCTTGTTCCAACTTGTTCCAACTTTTCACTAGTGTTTGATTTTAAATGCAATATTCAGGTAAAGATACTTCTTACATTCATAATTACAGGGGTTTATGTTTTCTCTTGCACAGATAAATAGAAAAGGAAGTGGGTGAGAGGAAACAAAGATTAAATGAGTTGACAGTAACTAAAACCAATGAAAAACAATGCTTTCTGCAGATGTGGCTTTTTGGGGTTTGTTTTTGGTTTTTTTAATCACTAAAACTTCCTCTAGCAACGAATCTTTCTCATTCAGGAGACAGCATACGGGGCAGAACCCTCCTGTTGTACTAAAAAGGAAATAAAGATGAAAAATTAACTGGTCTCTTACTTGATCCCAACTTTTTTCCAGCCTAGTTTCATTAAAAATGGGTATGAACAAAAGACAGGCAAAAGCATAAACTCTCTGTCAGGAGTAGGCACTAGGTGTACATACACAAAATTTCTTCATATTATATGTATTCTTTTAAGGAACTTTGTT